GTGATCAAAATTTAAAATTTATTTTTCAAATATTTTCAAAGAGATCAATTAATTATTAAATAATAATTGCAACGTAAAATATATTTTATATTTATCATTCTATAATAAAAACACAAATTTAGAACCTGATTCTAAATTGTAAAACTTAGTTTCCAGCGTGGATAAACGATCCTTGACATCCTTGTTTTCTTTAATTAAAGCAAAATTGGCAGTGTTTAGTCTATAGATGTCCTTGCTAGCTAGCTCTAACTCATGATATAATTCCTAACATAAAGCCAATATATAAAATTATTGAAAACAGTTTTGTATCAGTATATTTTAAAAATATAAACAGTACACTAGAATTCTGAAATACAGTTTACAACACTATAACCGTTTCCTTTATTAATCAAAATATATTAAGGGTTTGGTAATAAAGGCAATGTTTCACAGACCGGTTTTTAGCAAATTTTAAAAACGTAGTAAAATTTACAAAGTGCCCGCAATAAATGATCCAAATTATTAATTTACTAAAATCCATAATTCATATATATAAACTAAGAAACATATTATAATACTGTCATTTCCCTTTCTTTGAATTCCATTAATTTTTCTAGAGTTGCCAGATCAGAAGATTCTGAACCAGATGAGTCGGACCCATTAATCGCCTTATATACTGTGAAAATGTAAAGATATATAATTTTTCGAGTTAGAATTTATAATGATATATATATTTAATATTTAACTGAATATGAACGATATATAAACAGTAGAAATATTAATAAATAATTTAAATACTTCTTCGCAAAAATTTTTGTCTTTTGTCACTCAAGCAACTCTTGAAGGACTTAATGGGAGATTTAAGGCAGCCACATCTGTTCGGTTCCCAACAACTCATGCAGTTTTTACACTAATATTACAAAGAAAGTGAGGTGCATAAAAATAAAAAAAATATATGAGATAAAAAAGATATAAATTAAAAATTTAAAAACATTATATTATATGATTGTTATTAATATCAATTATTATAAAATTTTTAATATTGATCAACGTCATTCTCAGAAAGTTAAATCGAACTTCTTCATTTTCATGGTTATAATTATTATTGTCATTATCATTATTAGCACTTAATTATAGTGGTAATTGTTTATTGTAATTTTGATAATCTTAAAATTATTAGAATCCAGCTGATACTTAAATTGGACATTTCTATACTAAATGTTAGAGATCTGTCAAGGCCTATTTGGTTTAATCTTAGAATTTTTCGCGTTTTTATATATAATTGAGAATAAATTTTTTAAAAAACTTTATAATGCATATTGTATACATTTTTAGGAAGGGGGGTGAGGAGAAGATAATATATTAGCTTAAAATGATATTTCTGAAAACTTGAAATTTTTATTAGTGTGAATTTTTAAAAAAACATTAATAATTTTATAAAAAGGCAATATTGATTTGATTACTCTTAAATGGATTGATTTTGAGCCCGAAATTATCTGCTTGATTTGTCCTAAACTAGACAAAGATTAAGAATAAATGCAGGCTATGGTTAGTTTATATTATGATAAATTTCTTATTATCATTCGTATTCGTAAAATTTTACTTATTAGAGTTAAAATAATTGAAATATATTTCTATTATTATCATATTAAATATTGTAGTTTAAAAAATATTTACTATATAGAAGAGAAGCTTGGATAGGGAGTAGATTAGATCAACATATTTTATTTTTATTTCTTTGTATCTCAAACAAAAATAATCATTTGGATGGCCAAATATAGCTGATAATTTTTTCCCTTATAAGGATAAATCTAATGCCCAAAGTTGTCAAATGGAGGGGGGGGGTTATTACAGACAAAAATAACCTTATTTAAGGAGTACATTCTCCCGTTCAATACGACTAAACTTACAGTTCTAGAGAACTTGGTATTTGTTTACATCAAAGTGTCTAGGGTGACAGCTTTTTAAAAATTGGCGATGTAAAGGTGGTCATAATAGAGAACAAAAAGACAAAATAATACTGCAAATAGTACATAGTCCAACATAAATTTTCATCTATTCTGGAGAGGTGAAGATTTTGACTGAGGGTTGCCTATCCATTCGTCTCATTATCAAGATAGAAAATTTAAAGTTAAACAGTTTTTCAGGATGTCGGTTTGAAAGTATATATTTTATAGAATGCTTAATTATAGGAAAATCCTAACTCTTTTTTAAGAATGCAGTGGGTGACAATCGATTTAAATTACAGATTTCCAGGGTTAAAGATAGAAAAGTGAAAATTAGTATGTCTTTTAATAAATAAAGGCAACAATTGATAGATGCAATGAGGATGGAACCAATGCATCCGTATTTTGATAGAAGATATGCTTGGACCCAAAATAACGGACAGAAGGCTAGGTTGAGAATTTTCTAGAGATATTCCTTAATTTTATTTTCACATACCACTAAGTTCGAGGAGTAAATTGGGAAAGAACGGAATTAATTTGGTATGTTAAAAACAATTTAAGAATAATACATGGTGTTTTGGTAATTTAGTTAGTTTTGGTTTGAGGTTAGTTTATTAGAAAAAAATAGCATAGCCGGGGGAAAGCAGATGCTTAAGATATAAAAAAATAAAAATACGTTTAGTATGTGATTTAATTTTTTAGTTCTGTTTTTATATTTTACCGCGATACAACCTATATTTTTTTTTATTATTATCACTTATTTCAAAAATATTCATTTTTGCGCAACTTAAAATGACTAATCACACACATATTTTTATTTTATGAAAACACTTGAAGATTGTTATACAAGGCCATGTCATAAATATCAAAAAATTGAATCGCGCGCGAATCGGAAAAAAATATAAGCCAATTTTAATGGAAAATTGAAATGTTGACCTAAATGATTTTTTCTATTTCGCGCAAATTATGTGATTCTCAAAAATTTTATTCGTAAAACTTTAATCTTTCTATCATTAAAATTTTCTTATTTGTGTAATTATTGCAATAAAAATGGCGAATAAATACAAACTGATGGAAAATATTAGACCACATATATATCAATGGTGCAAAGCGAGTTAAAATATAGGTATATAGCAGCCAAGTGGGAAGAAATTCGATCTTAATTACGAACAAAATAAGATAAGGTTTATTGCAATTAAATCAACAATTTCAAAATTTATTGGATGATTTGGCACATATTTTGAACCTTTCAAAACTCACGAAAGTTGTGCAATTCGTAAAACTTTTAAGTAATTTGTTTTTTAAATTTAGACACACCCTAAAGACGATGATGTATTTAAGTAATGTCAAATAAAGTGGTATTTTAATTTCACCATTATATAATGAACATAACAATTTACTACATGGAGTATTTAATACATTACAATTATATGTGAAATAAATTGATAAAACAATATGAAAACTTTAATCCGAACAAGTTAATATTTCAACTTCTAATTTGTTGACGAAGAAAAGATCATCTACGAATGGATCGTTATCTATTGTATATACTTTAAGGACTAGTTTTAATTTTTTATATATGTGCAATAGTAATGTTATAAATTAAGTGCAATATATTTTATACTTAGGATTATGTACTCATTTCTGTAAAATATATTATAGTTTGGTAAGAAAGATACGAGTAATCATAAATTCACATTAGTGCGCATTCAAAAATGCTATCTATATAGGTTATATATACTAGAGATCTGCAAAACTCGGTCCGTCTAAAGCATGGCCCGAGAGTCGGGAAAATTTTTAAAAAAATTAAAAAGCACCGGGCCAGGCAGAGAAATTAAAAAAAAGAAATATCGGGAAAGGCTGGGCAAAAAATTTAACAGGTCAGGCAACTTGTAAAAAAATTCACGACTGACCTCTATTACATACATAAATTAGTTACTTCGATTCTATGATATTTTTAAGATAGATTTAGAGCCTACTAAAGCTTCCTTTGAACGTTAAAACCTTAATAAAGTTACAATATTTAGAATTGATTCCCATTTTATTTCCATATTTTCTACAAAATTTTTGCTTCTTATAGTATATAAAGAAGCTATAATCATGCAAAGTTAACTTTTATGTGATTATATTTGTAAAATCGTTAGCGAGTCAAGAATGCAACGGTTTCTTCAAGGGAAGAGAATAGAACCTATATATTACACACCTAACAAAATAGAGAAGCATAGAATAAAAAAATAGGAAAAACGATAAGAAATATTAAAAAATATAATCCTGGATTATCTTAATCTTTAAGAATATTATTTACTCTTTATTTAGGTAAATATATTAAAAAATGAAAAGAAAATTGGTAAATATAATATAAATTGAACGTAGTATATTAATCTAATTTATTTATTATTATCGTAAAAAAGGAATTTGTTTATATAAAAAAAAGAAATCTAAAATTATAAAAAAAATAAAGAAGAAATATAAAGCATAAAACGAAAAGTCTTAGGAGGAATCTTTCACGAGAATCGCCAGAGAACTTGCAGATATGAGCTACTAAATCTTTATATTTAATAGGATCTCAAAAAATAATCTATATTATAAAATTTTCTTCTTCTCTTAAATGCACAATTTTTTTTTTGCATATGAATTTGATTATTCTTGCAGGTATAAATAAATTCATATAAAAAGGCTTAAAAATGACTAATTAATGAGTGAATTTTTTCAATGGGAAATAATTCAAAAATATATATTATGTAAAATTATGCTCATATTTATCCTATCTATAATACCAATTTCGTCAAAATTTTAATGAACCTCCTTTTAAAAAATATGAATTTTGTATATAATTTCGATAAAACTTAATATAAAATTTGAGTCTAATTCTTCTAATAAATATATTATTTATATAATAATAAAAACAGGATATTTTTAACCAAAATTTATTGCAATAGTGTAAAAAATACTGGTTTGTTAAATATATAGTTTAATTGTCATAAAAGGCCTGAACAAGTTGTACAATAAATTATGTTATGATATATTAAATTTTTGCGTTTTTATTTATATTTTTCCTTAAATTTTTAAAATATTGCGTAAATGGGTAATTGAACTATATATATCGGAGAGATTAAAACGGATCCTATAAAACCAATCAAAAAATAATTTTATAAAGAAGACTTTTTCAGTTAAAGAAAAACGGGTGCGGCACCCATATAAATATTTTTTTCATATTTAATAAAGACTAAAAATATGATCTCATGATTCTATATAAAATTTTGAGCCAAAATGGAATTTTGCGTTCTTCGACTAAAAATGTTTGTTCGTTTACCTCGGAGGTGTATTCAATGATATTGTCTAATTCCTATATATAAATTGTACATATATTCTTAAGATAATTAAATAAAATTAAAGCATGGTTTAATGCCAATGCACAAAGACTTCTCATTAGTCAAAAGAGGTTTGCCACTTGATTGATACCCTGAAAGTAGGTAACTGTGGAAATTTGCGAGAATAATAGCATATATCAAGTATTTGATTATATCAAAAAAATTTAGCCGACAGATAAAGTTCACGACGCGAAAATGTTATTTTTATATAAGTGAATTAAATTTTTTTAAATAAGGATTTAACTCCTCCTGAAGAAATAGTAATAGCATACCAAAATGATCTTTGCAAATTTACCTCTTGCAGACAGGCCTAAACTTTGAGGCAAGGATTTAACTTACCACAGGCCCTAGATTGTGGTGTTATACACCAGGTTTTCCTTAAAATTGGGACATATTTAAATGCCCAAGTGTATGATTTATAGAGATCGCTATCTAAATATCGTGAAAGCTTAAACTATCTGATAGGGGAAAAATACGGTTTTAATTAATTATATAGAAATGGAGAATGGATCATATATGGATAAAAATAAGTTACTTTTTCACGTCAGGAACTTTAGCCGCCATCAAATAAGATGTACGATAACATTTTACTGGTTCTATGCCATTAAACACGTGCATATTCATGGACCCTTGCCCGGAGCTAATAAACTGGACACATTTTTTGGTTAACTAATGAGAAAAATGTTAACAATAGGTACTTAGAGCCCTGAATCTTGTCTATCTTTTTCAGGCCCGACCCACTCAGAAAAAATATTTGTTCGACCAATTTGAGTATTTTTTTTCAAGATATCAAGTCCAATCCTTTATTTTAAAAATTGGTCCGAATTTGATCCGATAAAAAATTTAACTGCGGAAAAAGTATACGATATTTTAAGGAAAGCGGAGAAATTATGAACGCTAAAGGATAATAATAAAAGTGTTATTCTTAAAAGAATATTTATAAAAATATTAGAAAACAAAATAATTTATTGAGGTTTGAGTCTAGCCCAAATTAAAATAAATGTATGACCCTCATCGAGTGTGAGAGAATGTCTGTCTCAATTTAACCAATACGAGCTCGGTCTGATTGGATAGGAAAGATGTGTGCAGGGAGTATTATATCTTTATTTCATTACATTGGCACAATAACAGCTTGTGATTAGACCAAACATAAAATCAGATCTCTAAATCGCTCTCTAATTTAATTAATATCCTTATATTATTAAAGGTAATCAGCTTGTTAAATTACAGCCATTCGCATAGGTAATAAAATTAGACAGGTTGCACTAAGCTTTAAAAACAATAATGACCTTGTGCAATTTTCGTTTTAATTTAGTGTTTGTGGTAAATACAGCAATTTGCAACTCGACGTCGCGATGCACTGATCGATATCCTGTATATGTGATAAAAAAAAGTATTTCTCTCAAATTGAAAAGTATTAAAAATTTATAAAATATATTATGTTGCTGTCAACATGTGACATTAATGTTAAATTTTTCTATCTCTTCTTATTTGAGCAAAACGCTTTTTAATTTCGTTTAAATAACTCTGCAACATCATTTTGCTCCTATATATAAGTCGTTTTTATATAGACTAAGCTTGATAAACGAGAGGTGATAATATAAAGCAGAGATCTGCAGATTTTATTTTTTTACCCGGGCCGGGCTCAAATATTTCTTTTAAAAAACCGGTCTAAATTTTTTTTAAAAAATACTCGGGCTGGGGGGTATATTTTTATTTTAAATCACCATTATTAGCTATAAAAATTAAATGTAATATATTTTAAAAAAATCCGGGCGTAGAAAATATTTTTTTAAAAAAATTTCCAGGCTGGACCTGAGAATATAAAATCCGAGCCGGATGTGAAAATTTTTTCAAAAAAAATCCAGGCAGAGCCATGCAAATCTTCTGCAGGTCTCTAATATAAAGGCTTTATGAAAGTTTCTAATATAATAAAAAAAAAATTAAAAAAGTTATAGATTCGATTCAATTTATAAAATTTTAAATAATTCATTATTTTTATTTATTTTTTTTAATTTATCAATTTAAAAATTTTAATCAAATAAATTTATAAAAAAGGTTATGTAATATAAAGAAATAACTTTTTCACATAAGATCTCCATAAATATAATCTAATAATTTCCAATATGTAGGATTAAAATTATATATTATTTATATATACAACTCAATTATTTAAGATATAGGTTATTCAATAACTTAAGATATTACGGTGTAGGTTATTTAATAAGAATAAAATATAAACCAAAAATAAAGAAGGGAAATTTTTTCTTATAAATATTCATCATAAATTGAATCTAAAAAAAATTGGACTTATTAATCACGAATGGCGTAACTTAACATATCAAAAATTTATGAAATGATAAATAAATTATAGCGCAATTTAGTATCAGAGTGATTTCTTAATTTTAAAATAATAAGAATATCGAAAAAAAATTCAAAATATCATCCACTTTATATAGTGGGATTTTTTAAGAAATTAATCTCGACCATCCAGGTGTCACATGCATGTAAAGGATTGGCGAGATTTATACCTGGTGGCCTAATATGGGTCACGATGTAGAGCCATGGGTAAAAAAATTGTCAACAAAATCGTCCGGAAATTGCTGAAGCTTCGCCTTATTCATGGAATATTACATCGCAAAATGCTAGGACTCATTACAGTAAAAATGATAGAGAATTGGGAGATAGTGATGACTTATAGAAATACTCAGCACATAACATCAAAAAATTACACGCTGAAAAACGTCCCTTATCGATTGGCTTTCTTACCCAAACCAATTAATCAATCTCGAATTCTTGAGTTTTTGCTTTATTATCATGATATTGTTTTTTTAACCAATGATTTTTCTTTATCTGGTCTTGATTATTAATTAATCAGGAGTGCACAGGGGCTCAAGGCCCCTGAGATTATAAAGGCTAGTAACGCCACTGGATAATACCAGGTAAGATTGTAAAGCAAAGAGGTTTATAGTCGTATGATGTACTGGCGGGATCGGTAGGAGCCTAGCACAATGGGGGGAGGGGAATGTCTGAAAATGTAGTTGTAATATATTATGTGTATAATTGTATTTGATAAAATATATTTTCCATAGTTTGGTAAGAAATAAGAATATAGGTAATATTTATATTATTTAACGTAATGTAATTTAATTCTATATATATAGAAAATCATATCATAAATTACATTTATAGAGATCAAATTTGAGAAAAAAATTTCTTCGTTTTTATTATATAACCTACAGCATTGATTAATTGTATGTATAAAAGTAAAATAGTTTAAACCATTATTAGAAATTATAATTCAAGCCATTATAGGGAAATTATAAATATTTTAGAGATCATATTTTAAAAACCCCCTCCCCCCTTTTCTTTGTTTGTTTATATCTCTATTAAATAATTCACAACATTCATTAGTAACATTTGAATTCTTAAATTGTTATAATGTAATATATAATTTTAATCTTATATAGTAAATTATTATTACAAATTATATTAATAGATTTATATTTAAAAAAGACCCAAATCCAAGTGTAATTGTTAAAAATATGAATCATATTCTTATATTTTACCTAAAGTGTGTAGGATTATTTTATTATATTATTTAATTTCAAATTAATATTATTATATCATTTGTCAATATTAAGGTGATTGTTTTTGTATTTAAAATTGTACAAATTATCCATTTTTGAAAGAAAATATATCACATACTATCGTTTTATTATCATTAAAACTGTTTATATTGAAAATCCATCTATAATAAAACCTTTTTTTAATACATCTACTCTCATCTACCAAGCTCCAACGACATTTAACGTGTGAATGATTTTATTTAATTTTAAACCGAAATTTGATGAGCCGAAGATAGTGAAAGCTGGGTACCTTTCCAAAGCCGAGTATAACCATAGACCTTTGGCGTGGTAGGTCGAGCCTATTCTTTCGTACTCCCAAAGAGTTATTTGCTTAGAATTATGCGAATCATCATCATCGTTTCTAATCCGTGAAATTAGAGGAGCTTTTTTAAATAATATAATTTCTTTTTGTCATTTTGCTATAATATAGCTATTAAATAATCCTAGACGAAAAAGGAAATGATATTAAATAAACAAGAAATCGTTTAGAATTATTATGAAAAAAAAACACCAAAAATAATAAATGAGATTTTTTAGAATATAATTTTTATATACAAAAGAGGGGTCTCATGGTAAATAAAATAATAATGTTAAAATATTTTTTAAAAAAATCCGAAAGAGATTGATTGATTATGCACAGAGCGAAAATATTTAAAATCAAAGTTCTAACATTTTAAGGATAGGCGATTGTCGGAATTCGTGCTAGTAGATGAGCTATAATTTTTTTTAAAAATTTTGTTCCAAATTTGAATGCAAGAGTATTTGCTATCGCCAAAACCCCTTTCGAAAAGTCTATCCTTGTTAGGTGGTTCGTGTATTTTATTGTAGAATAGGTGAGCCGCGTAACTGTATATCAGAGGAACGTATTTCTTTAAACCCTTGCCCCCGTGAAACCCGTTGGCCTAATTTAAAATAAAATTATATTAAATTAAATAATGTCCTAAAGCTCAAAAGTCTTTCATGTTTTTTTTAAATTTCAAAAAATAAAGGTGGTCGCTTTTTATTGGATTTGTGCTGTATTTCTTATTTTGTTCGAATTTGCCAATTCAAAGAATCGTGTGTTGGTCAAATACTTGGATGCCCATATGTTATAATTTTAGGTTCTAAAAGATCTAATCAACCCAACTTAATTAATATAATATCAGAAATACATTTGCATGATCGTTTAACTCCCTCAAGGCTCATAAGAAAGCTAATTCTTAGGCATAAGGTCGTCTGGTTCGATTTCTTTTTGATACTTAGACAAGACAGCTCTTTTAAACATGAGCACCATATTTTGGTGTGTTTTAAGTGCTTGGTGGCATTGTTATTTTTCATATTTTTTTTCTCTTACTTTTTAGGCTCTTTAGTCGAAGCTATATAGCCTGCTGTTACAAGTCGAAAGGACATACTTTAATGACTTTTATTTTAGTAGCTTAACACTTTACAGTAATAAAATATAAATATTTAAAATAAAGTTAATGGCATAAAAAAAACTTGAGGAGAAGCTAGGAGAATATTGGTTGCATAGAGAGCCCTATTATCTTTACGATAGAAGGGTATTCTAAGAATTAAACATAAAGGTTTATAAATTATTTTATATTATCTATTGTCTAATCCATTGCATCGTTTATATCTTACATTATTCAAAAAATAAATTTGAATAAGAGTTAGTTTTTTTTTAGAAGTTATATAATTTTGATTTTATTTATTTATAATATTCAAATTTCTAAAAATTATAAATAAAACGGAAAAAAAATACCAAATGCTCTATTAATTTATATATAAATAAATTATTCATTACGCGATTAAAATAATATAAAATATATTCTAATCATCATGTGAGATGAGGCTGCCAATGAAGCTGATGTAATTGGCCCTGTGAATTGCTATTGCGAGTCTTTGTCTTAATAAGAAGCCTTCACGAGGTTCATCTGTTAGTTTGCGGATTAGCGATCCAAGTTCCTTGAAGAAAGAAAGAGCACGATTCCCATAGGTAGTCAAGATAGTGGAAATGATGGGAATGAATAAGTGATCTTGGGATATCTCTGAATATTTTGCAATTTTTAGAAGCTCCCTGTTCTCCAGAATGTTAGGGATTGATTGGAAGGAGCTAATGGATCAATACAAGAGTAATCCCAGACCAAGAATTGACCTCGCTTCCAGGGAATTTGAGATCCCGTCAGGGCGTTTCCCATCAGATCTGAAAAGACCAGGGGGTTCGAGAATAGAAGGAATTTGAGCGGATCTCAGAGCTCTAAGAATTATAGAATTGCAAATGTTATGTCTAACGATGCGGCCTTTACATGAACGACAATGTAGACTATGCCTTCCATTACTCAAAACAGCAGAACTGCAGCCGGCACAGATGTGGGGTTGGGTTACTAAGCAATTTAAACGGATGCCTATAGCATGAGTTAGCTCATTTTGGGTCAATTGTAATTGTAAGTTCGCGGAAGGAATGACTTCGAGAAACTAATGTCCAGAACCATTAAGCAGAGAGGAGAATAAGGGACGGTCCAATGATTGCATACTGGAAAGGAGAGATTCGACGCAGCTTGCAATAATGGGCTTATCCCAGTCCTTCTGCTTGTTCGTTTCTGGAATTGGGTGGTCGGCAATGAATCGAGATTTCCATTCAATGATGGCACTATCAAAGGAAGGGTCAGAATTTAAGGAATTAGGATTGACTAAATTTTTGGTTAAAAGACAGCTCGATATAAAGGCAGTTAAGGCAAGATCGGAAGGGGATCTGATGCCTAGTCCTCCCATCTTGGTAGGAAGGGTGGCTTGTGTCCACGCTAATTCATGGAATTTTAGATTAAGGGTACTTTCAATTAGGACTTTAATCCCATTTTCATAAATGCCTAAGGAAGTGGGAAATTTAAAAATAGGGGTAGAGCAGAGCGCATAAAGAATTTTTGGGATATTGAAGAAATTTTTCAGGAGAAAAAAGGCTTTATGAGAGGGGAGAAGGGAAAATAGGTCAGCCAACTCATTAAGGGTTTCGAGTGTAGAATGTAGGAAGGATGATATGACTGTGTCCACCAACGGGAGCACCTAAGTGAGATAATTCCTCCAGAGTAATCTGTTTGAAATTATGAAAATTGTTTTCAGATGAATTAATTGGAATGAATTCTGATTTTTCATGGTTGATTGATAGACCAATGGATAGCCCTGCATCCTTGAGTTATCAAGTATCTATTGCCAAAATTTTGCATCAAACAATAGAAATTTGGTTTTTATTCATCATTACCAAGAAATTAGATTATAATAAATAGCAATTTTAACGAATAAATAAAATATCGTCGCTTCTTTATTATAAGGTTATAAATTATTAGAAACGAAATTTCGAAACCGTGTCATATATAAGAGCAATTAAAATCTCTTTTTAAAGTTCTAGTTCAAGTTCTCTAGTTAGAACCCTATAATTATGCGATAATACAGGTAAATCATATTTTTTCTTAAATCAAAAAAATTTACATGTCATCTTTGTCCCGTTTGATATGTCTTTTAAAACTTTTAAAATGCGGATCTTCTCGGCTTTTATCTTTATCTTTATATCTATTTACGAGGAAATAATTTTTTTTTAAATAAAGGATTTTATAAATAGAAACAATTTAACATATATATATTAATATGATGTTACATAAATACGAACGAAAATTTAAAGTACAATGAAACCTCCAAAAGTTACATCTCTTCACGATGATTAATGACCATCTATTTATCTTGAACCTTATAGATCTACTTTTATCTGCCAAAACTCTCCTTAAAAAAAATCTAACAAAATGTTCTATGTATCGATCGCATTTCTATAATATTTTAATAAGAATGGTAATTTTTTTTAATAGTTTACTCAATAACCTATCTAAAAGAATGTCAGAATAAACGGGAACGAGGTTAAAGTAACCGGTGGCCAACCAAAGCCTGCTCCCGGAATCGATTGTTTGGAAAAAATTTATCATGCAGGCGTGGTCACAATCGACCCCATGAGGTTGGGCTTGTATGAGGGGGTATATGTAGGTATCGTATTTCTTCCCGTCATTGTTGGACTTCGAGTGGTTGTCTTAAAAAAATGTTGCGTTTATAATAATGAGTAATGAAGGTAACCGATTGAGTCTTATCCTCAATTTTAGTTTCAATTCAGAACGTTTAAGATATAAGTTGAGTCCTCTCCTATGGATTATGAGGACCAGACCGTGACCTTCACTTTTTTTTCTCCTTCTCGAAATTGTAAAAGAACTACTAGGCAAATAAGAAATAGAACCGGTTTCAAAATGTCAATAGCTATTTTCCCATATATAGAAAAATACAACGGATATCAGTAAAATACTTAAAAGTTCAATAACATTAAAGCAATTTTAACATATACCTATAAGAAAATGGTAAAACCATTTATCCAAGCCTCTTGTTATTAACTCCTCACAAGGTTTGCATTAAGATAAATTGTATCAAATTTATACTAGTTAAATAGGCGAAAGAGTAAAAATTAATTCTCATGTGACTATAATTAAAATATTTCAAAAAAACAAATTTATTAACCATTCTTCAGTTATTTTCAGAGACCTACCACTAACAAGTTTTTGAAATAGTATAATTTAAAAAAAAACAAGGAGAGCTTAAAAATATGAAATACGAACATGGGCCAGGTCTAAAAATATTTCATTTCATTCATTTACTGCATATAATTTCAATTTTCCTTCAAATGAATTTACAAAACAGCAAAAAATATTTAAAATAATGAAATTTTAAATTAATTTTCAGCCACTGCCGTAAAAATGGTCAAAAATTTAATAGTCTGAGTCAGAGTTATAAATAATCTAGGCCAGGCTAAAAAAATCTATTTTTTAAATCCACACTAGGTTGGGCTTAAAAATTTGTGGGAGGGGGAATTAGATTTGGGCCAGGTCAAATAATTCGAACTCTGTGGGCCTCTGCATTTTAGATATGGTTGGTTTTATAGTAACAACAGTAAGAAGATCTCAAAAAACAACGAATCGGTCACATAGTTACAATTACAATATTCTAAGTGGAATGAAAAACAAATGTTATTTTTACAATCTTGAAAAATATACACTCCTCATATAACCCTTTCAGATAAGTAAATCACATTTTTGGGTAACTACTATTCATAATTGACCATTTATTTTGTTATGACATTTTTTAAAAAAAATCCTGACCTAAACATGTGGAGGCGACTTTTAGTTGGCCATTAACAAATTTTTTTGTAATCGTAATCGGAGCATATTTTACCGGTTTATCAATTAAAGGATCTTCCATTGTATTAGAATTTTTGCTTGATTCGCGTTTCCTATATTTAACATAAGTCAAAATTTCAGATAATAAATTAATTTTTTTTAAAAACTTATGGTTGTAAAAATGAATTTTATATGCCATGAAATCCAATTGATTAAATTTTAATTGCTCCTTTAGGAGCTCATATGCATTATACAGAGGTCCTTTCTTGCATACTTGTTTTGTTTATAAACAGTTTTTTAATAAATTAACTTTTTTTAAAGTAGGTGGTAAAGAGGAGGTGGGGAAAAACAAAATATCATTGAATTGTATAATTTTAACACGCATTCAATATTTATCGTTTATTTTCACTCACAGTATCCACCTAGTCTATAAGAGTTAATATATTTCCCAAAAAAATAAATAGTGGGAGAAAGTTTTATAATTAGTTACTTTCCAGGTTTTAAAATATTACTTAACGAAATAAGGTTGTATAAATCAGAGAAGAAATATATTTTGGTTTTGTATATAGTTCGGTTCAGGTTTAGATAAAAATAATGGTTCCGGGTTCAGGTTCGGTTTGTAAAAAACAATAATATCGGTTATTTGAAACTTTATAACCCGGTTTAAGCCTTTTCGCACGTAAGCATATTATAATTATGTAAAGTAAAAAAATTAAAAATTTTATCACTATTGTCTAAAAAATATTAAAATTAAAATCAAGATTCACTTCCGTCAAATTATACCATTAAGGAGGAAGAATAAAATTTCTGACTAAGAAAACTTCTATATGCTAACTTGAGTCATCTGGCACCGTCAAATATAAATATACAATAATATCTAAAAATAAATACTGATATTAAACTGATCGGGGGTTTGTTTATTGATAAATAATTATGGTAGGTTCGGTTTGAATCCCTGGATTTGTATATGAAATAATAATATACTTCTATTTTTATAAATTTGCCCTAAATATAGGTTGTTAAATTAGATTCAAATTGTAATAATTATATATAACACCAGATAACAATTTATAGATACATTTATTTTGGTAATTTATTTTAGATTACAGCTAAAAATAAAAAAACGGAATAAATTTAAATGAATTTTTTAAAAAATATTTTACTACCAAAATGTTTGTCCTCCCACCACCCCCTCCCTTTCCATAGCTTTTTAATAATTATTTTTAAACAATAATATAAAAATATAGCAAAACAAACACATATGGTTTATAGACAAATAATTATCTATTTTAGCGTTTCTTTTAATATTTAGAATTTTTAAATTAATATACCAAACCCACCAAACCATATGAGATAAATATTGCATAAAAATGAATAAAAATAGAAAATAAATTTTAAATATTATTTTTAACAATACAATATGCGTAAATATTAAAAAATATACTGTCTAGATAGATTAGAAAAATCTCTTCCCTACAACTTTTACCTATTAATAAAACATGTATAAAAATCTACTTTATAAAAACATATTTTTTTATACATTTATAAAAATATAAAACAAATTATATTTTTTTACACTTTTGATGCAAGTTTTTCGTTACGCATATTTGATATTTCGTTTCGTAGCCATTTTTCGAATTGATAACCGCCGAAATGTTGTTTAATTTTGAACCCTAATTCTCCGTTTTTCCTTAAACATGTTATTTATTCATTTTTATAAGCAGAACAGGGTAAGAGGGTCTAGTCGAGAAAATTTGTAAGAATTTAAAGATTTACAATCTGAAATCATACAAGTAATGCATAGGTGGATACCATAGAAATTATGTTAAAGTAAGTAAGTTATGTTATAACATGAGTGAAGCGATATATAAAGACCTATTTTTTATATCTTAAAATATTAACTACAAACAAAAATTACCGTAAAGACTCACTGTGAAAGTAATTTTATAAAATAAGGATGTGAAGGGAGAGTAAAAACTAGTTCTAAGTATACATTCATTATTTTGAAATCAAAAAGTTAATATCACATTTAAAGTCTAAAATCTAGCTCCCATTAATTTGAGACATATCTGGTCCGGAGATAATATGATATTTGAGATAAAAAATTCTGTTCCAAAGGTTTGCAGAGGCTAAACTCATGCAATCAAAAATGAGAAAACATAAAAATAAAATAAAGTTTATTATACCCGTAAAAATGTTTACGAAAATAAAGGCTTTCCTCGCTAAGCTCGTCGATTTTCGCGTTTTTAAGATTATTATCATCATCATTATCCCACACCTTTTCATCTATCCCTTCATCGCCTTTATCCAAATCGCTTCCTGTTGCCCCTTTATGCGCGCGCGATCTTCGGCCACGTCTAGATAGTTGTCTAAAGTTATAAATTCATAGAATTGTTTTATAAATATTTTTATACAGGTCACAACGTGTCCAAAACGAGCAATAATCTCAATCCAAAACTATTTCCTGCCCATTATTATTAACGAAAGTCAAGAGCAAATCAGAATATCTTACATCGTATATTAACATATAAATAAATGAGTACCTTGAAAGTTTAATCATGTTGCAGGTCGTGTCATCAGGTAGGAGTCTGTGGGAAGAAAATTTGCAGAGCAATCTGATAAAAATTTCCAGGTGATCGCATATGTCTTTACAATTGCGGATGAGGATGTAACGATCTTGCCGGTCAGTAAAATAAGATTCGCTCAGATTTGCGCTATTATTTTTTTTGGAGTGAAAATCACAAATAAATATATTAACAAAGCTTGTCCAATTTAAGCTCTAGATAAATATTAGGTCCCATTCAAATTCATTTTAACCATTACGTATTAGAATTACATTATAAATTGGGCAACTGTCTGTTGGGAAAATTTTTAGTACCCAACGGAGCCCAAATCAGGTTTCACTGCATTTGCTTTTATTGCCATTATATTTATTTAAATGTTAGTAAATAAAGTGAATTGATTTTTAAAAAGGACTAACCTAATATTTTAGCCATATTACGCAAGCCTGAGGATTTTGTTCATAGATGGCAGACTAACAAAATCTATGGGTTGTCTAATATTATTTTTGTCAAAATCTTAAATTCAACATTAGAGAACTAAATATAATCTGATCACACAATCTCTAGAATGATGTTGCTATGGAGGAAGCTAGCCTTTAATTTAAAATAACACTGTAAAAAAATATTCTACGGAATCTCCCCTTTTATAATGAATTTTGTGTCGTACGTATAAATAGAAACTCAAATCAACAGAATAAATAAAATTATAACAATATATTTTTTTTCTATTACCCAGATATTAAAATATCGTCATCGAAAATGTAGGCCTTGACGTGGTTTAAACCGGCTATTTCGCGGAAGGAACCAGATAGAAATATTTTTTTGAAAACTTTAAAAAAAATACAACAAAAAAAATTATATTTGTCCAATATATATTTATCCCCCACTTATAATTTAACAGGTCTATTTTAAAAAAATTTATTCGATTCTTTTAAAAAAATTATAATTTACTATTTATGTTCATATAAATAATAAAAATCACTAATTATATTTGATCGATAAAAATAAGACTATTTTAATTTTTTTAAATATACCCAGTCGGGCCTAAAAAAATTTTTTTAAATACTCAAGCCGGGCTTACAACCTTTTTAAAATAATATCTGGGCCGGGCTGTGCAAATGGTACCTCTGAAGGTCTATGATAAAAATTATGAATGATAAATTATTAGATTCGTTTAATAAAATATACGAATAATTCAATATTCGCTTCGTATTCGTTTTTGAATAGGCCTATTTAATTTTTACAAAAAAAATAATAAGTATAACAAAATAAAATTAAAAGTTATCATCGTTTAATATTATATTTCTTAAAAAAACCCTAATTAATTAAAATTTATAAAATAATTTTATAAATGTTTACTTTTAATAATAATGACTAAGGAGTTCTGCGATTAAAATTTAAAATAATAAATTCTTACTAAAAAGTTGCTAGTAATCAAAAATGATTTGTAAGAATAATATTTAAAAAACCCCCCAAAGCCCTTAAACTTAATAATAAAAATTTTATTATAAAAACAAAACAAACTAGAATTATATTATTATAAATATAATAATAGCTGAAATTGATAGAAATTATATTTAAATTTATTGATTAAATTGGGAAAAATAGAAGGGGGGGGGGGGTTTGATGGGTGGAGGTTAGTTTGTGATACATCTTATTTTTATATGTAATTTTTATAAATAATTAAAATTTGATATATTAATATATTTTTTTTGGCACAAAAAGATATGGGAAAACAAAAATGAGCATTTGAACAAATAGGTCTTTGCTATAATAATGAATAATAAAAACTAAAAGGAAGGTTTTTCACCAATATTTTTAATTGTTTTTCATAACAAAAAATAAAAAAGGTTATATTTATTATTATTATAATATGGATTTTGAGAAAAGAGCAGAAAACACAAAAATTAAATTTATATAAGACAGTATAACGATTTGAAACCCGGATTTAAGATTAAAAGAGTGAATATGAAATTTAGAAGTGAAATTAACAAATTATATAAACTAATAATATTTAAAAAAATCAGAAAAAATCACAAGATGTGAGTAAATCTTCTAAGTCAAAATAATAGGATGCCCTACTATCTATCTTATTATTTAAAGCAAATTTATAATAAACACGCTATACTAGATTCGTATTTTTTTAACAAAAATTTTTATCGAATTACAAGTAAATTTGGGAGATTGGTACAGGTAAACACTGGCAATCTCGGGGTATCGTTTTATGAGAGGTAATAACATATCTCGGCTCGTGATTGTAAGGTTTGACATGAGGGAAGGGAACGTTATAACAACGGAGGAATACCGCGATTTTTTTCTCTCATCATCGCCGAATATGTATTTCGGGGATATTTTTTGGACGTCCTTGGAATTTTGTAAATTGAAAAAGTCGTTTCTCCCTGTACCTGTTACAAATAAATTGTTATAGTCATTTTGGGTTTCCCTGTGGATGTTTTTAACAGGTCTGGAACCGCGCAGATAATCGATCAATATAAGGAGGTTGAAAGAAGATTTATTGAGCTTGTGCCATTGACATCTATCTAAAAGGGCTTCGACCTAAATATAATAAATAATTTTTTGTATAATATATGTGTAAAATTCTAAAATTTATATGTCAAACTATAAAATAAATGCTAAAGTCTACAAATGGCAAGATTTTCAGACGTTGAAATTTAATTTTTGCCCGGCCTGGCGGCCAAATTTGTACCCGGCCCTCTCCAATTATTAAGGTTGCCCGCCGGTTTTTAAATATAAGGCCTAACCTAAAATATATGGTGATCAACAAAATAAACAACTAATATATTGGCGAGTTTAAATAAAAACATTACATTATAGATTATCATTTATATCAAATATCAGACAGAATTCAGAAATAAATCCCGATACTTTTTTTGTCAGGCTCTGCTCAAATAAAAAAACTCAGACGTTACCAGGATCGGTCCAAGACCTCTAATGGATGTAAAGAGAGATTAAATTATATATTTATAATTATATTATAATTTTTTTTGAAAAAAATACGTCATTTATCAAAATGGTCAGGTTGGCAAAAGACTAAAGTATTAATCTTTGCAAACTTTATAAAAGATTTGCATGTCAATTGTATAAAACGAAATATCTATTTGGTTGAGATAAATTTTTTTTAGAAAACTCAAAATTATGAGTTAATAAATAGAAAGAAAAAACTCTGAATCTCCGCAAAAAAAATATAGAAATAATTATAAAGCAATATGTTACTCAAATTTAAAATCCTATTTTTCATGTATCATACTCTGGAAAGTTGTTAGCTAAAAGCATGCTCCAACATGTCTAAATTTAATTTGAAAACCCCTTTTCCACAATTTTGCATTTTTAGCGTAAAATGACTTTTCGCATGCCTAAATGATAAAAATTAGTGATCTCTCCAAATATTTTAATTATAATTTTTATGGAAGATATTATAATTAAATATATTATAATTATACTTTTAATAAAAAAAGTATTGAGAAAAATGGTAGGAGCATCCTTATGTGATAAATATTATTGATACCAAATATAATATTTGCTTATTTGAATTTCTATAAACCTTTGTTTTTCTTTCTTTCTTTCCTGCCTTCCTTCTATCTTTCTTATTTATCTCTGAAATAGAATTTTAATTTGAAAATGGATGATTTTTAATAAAAATAACTAGAACTTAAAACGGAAACCAAAAAAATCGATAAAAAGTTTTAAAAAAAATTTATAAGTTATAAAATAGGTGCACTGTCATATATTTATAGGAGAATCGAATATAATTTCAAATTATTATAGGATTAATTTGTTTATAATATAATATATAACATTTAAACAAATGATTAACATTATATTATATTTTATCAAAAAAAAAACTTTTATTTACGAATTAAAAAAATTTTTAATATAAGAGAGGTGATTAATTTTTAAAGGTTGGTGGCTAACTCAATATTTTAGCCGGAAAAATATTAAGCCTCAAGCTTTCGATAATATATGTCTAGACCTTTGTTCCTTCTATAAGCAAAATCATCAGGCTTGGGTAATATTTTTCTGGATGAAGTATCGAGTTAGCCGTTTTTAAAATCGGCTCAAAACGAGCCGTTTAAAAACACTATTGGTATGTTGATGAATGATTATAGAGGAAATATTCATTTATTTAATTAGTTATAAATGAATTACGTTCATAATGTGATTATGAACAAGTAGATATTTTGAATAGGGCCTGGAATTTTATTTTTATCAGGTATATAAAGCTCGCTAGTATATATTATTAAGGTTAAATTTTTTTAAAGTTGATGATATCAATGATAACTGACTATATAAATATTTTAAAAGTTAAAAATACTTATATTATATGTAATAAGAGGATTTTGGGTGCTTTTTTTAGTGATGTCATTATAGATAATTTTTATAACTTGGAAATTTTATTTTATAACTCATTACTATTTATCGATTTCTCTAGAATAATCGGTTTATGTTTCATATTATTTATAATATCCCTACTATTCAACAAATTGTTATTATCCTTAGCCTTACTGTATAGTATAAAGTTGATAATGGCCGAATCACTGGAATATCCGCATGCTTATTATCTGAACAAATATATGATGCCACGTCAAGAAAGGAAATATTGCTGATAGTAAGATACAGATATAAGTACTCCCTATGCAAACATCACATGCGAACAATAATAATAATATTCAAGATATATGCTGCCAGATAGAGAAATTTTGCTTTAATTGTGGTAAATCATAATACAAAGACGTAGATTGTCTTATGACTTAATTCCGCAACTTATCCTTCGATGGCGCCCCCTATCAAATTTCATACCTTTCTTTCCAATAATAATTTTCCAGAGCCTACACTTTTAGAGGATATAATCGTCCATATTAACATTATCATTATCCCAATAATCATTGCTCGGAAGATCATCAATTATGTATCCGAATATGTTATATAATCCACCTCTGGATTCTGCAATATAAAATTAATACGCTCACTCAACTAATTGCCAATAATCCTTGTCCACGTTTAGATATTAATATAGATGGCGCAAATCTTGATATGCTTATTGACACTGGAGCTGAAATATCTATAGTTAGTCTTTCCAATTTTAAATCACATTGGCCATTCCAAACCTTAACAAAGTTGCCCTGTGATGATTAGACAAACAGATAAGGCTTTAATCCCAGTTTGCGGCAAAATATCCGTAAATGTGGTTATTAACAATATCCCTAAATATTTTTAGGTTGTTAGAGATAACATTGACAGTATTTTAGGATGGGAATGTTTAAGAATACACTGATAACATAGATTGGAGAACGATTTTTAATGCTAATGTTAAAATTTCCAGAATTCCAACATCATCATCCTCTAATAATAATATGCTGATATTCCAATGATTCCAGCATTATCCACTTCATATACGATAACGCTTTGTAATAATTTACCAAGGAATATGTCATATAATTGGAATAGGATATTCCATCTAATGATCCAGTAAAGATAATAACAATCTGTTGAATAGTAGGGATACTATAAATGATAAGCAACATAAATATATTATTCTAAAGAAATCGAGAAATTGTAACGATTATAGGGATGCTTATTGAAAATTTTTTTTTATTCGAACGGAATCATGTTAGCATGGCATTAATTAAAGAAAATACATGGAGAACAAATATTAATTTAATAGAGCACCTGTCTATAAATTACATCATTTAATTGATACTGCTTATAACCATCTGTTTATTTCAGTGCCTGAAAATTATAACACCTCGTAAATGAAAAACAAGAGTTATCAAACTTCCCATTCTCTATCGATTACTTAATTTCATATACAACTATAAATATTTCGACCATTATATTTCATTAATCAAATGTCATTTTTTTTCGGATTTGCCCTTGACCGATATCATAATATCGATGGTTGATGTATCTCTAACCCATATCTGTGTTTTGACTGAGTAATATCAAACATTTCATTACAATTTTTTTATTGAAAGGAATATATTAGACGTGAAATTCTCTTTCGGGTAAAATGAAACTGACCTAAAGCTATTTTTTAAATAATATTTAATGTATAATAATATATCAGTTTTGGTCATCATTTAAAATGTTGTAACTTCAATCGGCTATAATATAGATCGAGAAAAGGCCTGAGTAGGAATTTTTTTAAAAATATGAGACAAATAATTTGGTTAAATCTAAACAAAAGCTTGTTAAATTATTATTTTCATTGAATTTACATGAAACTAAAAAAAAATTTAATAAAATATTTTTTGTAATCCAAATTTACTATATAAAAAAATCAGATTTTAAGGGCATAAAAATTATCAAATAACGAGTCAATAATTGATAAGTTTCTAAATCCTATTTAATACTTTTGAAGCTAATAAAATAAAACAAAAGTGCAGGAGTTTGCATGAACCAGTATTATAATAGTATAAAAAAATTAGAGTTCTTTTTAAGTTGGTTATATATGATCAGTGTCTAAGGTTTTAGACCTGGTAAGCGTTACTAGAGCTTGTAATGTGGGTGTTAAAAATAAATCTTTAGGTGCGCATAAAAAATTTACATAGCTGAGCGCACGATTACTCAAGTAACTGATCGAGTTCCGGTTTTGGGTAAATTGTTTTTGGTATTATGGTTCAATTATCAATTATGGCATGAATTGAAAAAGATTTTACCGATTTTTTTAAGAAATATAATAAAATATGGAACACGTAAATAATTAATGATCCTACCGAGAGTACTAAAATAAATATTAAAAATGTCATACGTATGAATTAAAAAAAAGGGTCGATAAGGTGAATTAAATTATTTTTTATAAAATGTTTCAATATAGCAGAGTTAACTCTACATTTAAAAATAACGCGCTACCGCTATCGATACCCATCAAAAAAAAAGTAGCGCGCTATTAGTTACTATTTTTTAAAAGTAGGTTTGGCTACTTTTTATAAAAAAAATTTAGAAATAAATTTATTTTAAATCAATATTTATAAAAATTTAAATATAGTTAGTTTTGAATTATAAAAAAATTTATGTAAAAAGTCTATAATTTATGTATTAAACTCATTTTTTAATTTTGTTGCATTTTGATAATAAAATCATTTCTATACTATCATCCCCAGAGCAACGAACAGAAAGTATAAGTTTTGTATTACTAAATAATCTCTCAACACTAGCACTAGGGCAAGGCAGTATTTAATTTTATATATTTTTTTAATATAAAAAAAATTATCAAAAATACTCATTTGTATTTTTAGATTTAAAAAACGCGTCAAGGGGATTTTCTATTATATTAGCATCCTTTATTTCAAAAAATTATCAGTGGAAGCCGTTTTCATGGTTCTAACTAGGGCATCTTTGTCTGTTATAAAAATCATAAGTGTCTGACGACAAAAAATTAACCAGGGGATAGTTTTAATCAGCATGATAAATGATGGATTATCAACTAATGAAATTTTCTAAACTATATTAATTATAAAATCAGAGAAATATTGGTATTAGCAATATTAACAATCAATTTAGTTTGATTTTTTAGTCTCCCCTAAAAATTATTAAGA